CTTTAATCGATGTGGGAGTTTATCCCTTAACAAGAGAGATTTTAAATCCTTATGATTGTGGTGTTGAAATGTAGGTCTTGTTCATGGAATTCAGGCCAGAGATTTATGCATTGATGGATGTGGTGACAAGGATACTTGTATACATAGGTAACAATTTCTCCCATACGAATATCGCTTGCATTTGGGATCCTCCACTTAAGTCCCAGGAGTACATGTGGGAACCAGAAGACAATCAGAAGATTCGACGAAGATATTAAGGATGCTTCTCTCTGCCAATAGTTTTAAAATATCTAACGTGAGAACACAAGAATGCGTGTATAAATACATCCAATATGCATTCAGAATTTTTAAGTGTAGGGGTATTCTTTTTTTGTTTTTTTATTGTTTTTGCATGCATGTATTACAGGGAAATTAGCCAGGTGAATGTTAATGAGTTTTGACAAGATTTTGATGATTATGTTGCTGCTCCCGAGGTTTCTTGTCACTGTTTTCTGGTTTTTCTTTATGGGTAGTAGCTTGCTACTCCCAAGGTTTCTTGTCACTGTTTTCTGGTTTTTCTTTATGGGTAGTACTGTAGTAGCTTACAGTCAAAGGCACGTGAAAGAGGAGAAAAAGTTTTCTGCTTGTTTTGAATTTCTTCTTAGAATTGTTTTCTGCATTTTAAGATGATGAATGTCAAAATTAGAGGTTCAAAAGTAGGTTAAATCGTTGATCAAATTGCTTTTTGAAATTTGGAAGAACCCAGAATGGCCGAATTTTTACATCATGCTATTCACATGGTATGCAACATTGTGATCCATGGCATAACGATGTTGAAATATGTTTTTGCCAAACATGCCCTTGCGATCGCATGGGCTATTGCCCTGCAATTGCAACGCTCAACTCTTTATTTAGTGCAGTTTGTTCCAAGATTTCTTTCTTTTGGTCAGCTAAAGTTCATTATAATTGTAATCTATGCCCTTGATCTTTCAATTTGTATCAAGTTGGTCGCCTTTCTTAGAATTATGTCCATAACTCGATCTTTTTGTTCGATTTTCATTCCTATACTTCAAAAGCTCGAGTTTTTCTTAAATAAATAATATTTATGCAAGATTAAGCTATTATTTTCTAAAAGTGCTTTCAAATATTCATATTTAATGGCCTAGATATGTGTACACTTATCAATGTATATTACAAGATATTCGAAAGGCGGAAATAGCTAGGTGAAAATCATAATTTTTTAGGAGGTTTTGATGATTATTTTGATACCCCCACCTGCCAATCTTTCTTGTCATTCTTTTGTAGTTTTTGTCCATATTTGGTGTGGATTAAAATCTAAATTTTTATTTAAGCTAAAGTTAACAATTAATTTTATTCATGTATTTTATAGGATTCATAATATTTCAAC